CTATTTTCCTTTCAATAAATCATGCACTCGTTCGACAATAATGAATTTTTTCCACCGATAAATCCATCCCCTTAATTAGCTTTTTTTTTCATAAAAATTATCTCGTCATACAATTATCGCTCGACATCAACTTCTTCATTAACTCATATAGCTGGTCAAAATACTTCTTTGAAAAATGATATTTGGCTTGTAGGTTCGAGCATTATAGCAACTACCGACAATTGTGAGTGCTTTTCACAAGTAGGCTAAATCTCTCTACGTGATGCATTCAACATATCATAAAAATGTTGGGCGCTCGGATTAAGAACCTTCTCCATGCTAGACGGATCAAATGATGGACCGACCGCATCTATTATCATAGCTTGATATGGGTTTTGGGGTTCACTAGAACTACCTTCTTCTACATAATAATTTTCGGATGCCATATAGGTTTCAAATTTTTCATGATGTACCCAATCATAATATCCTAGCACAAAACCCTTACGGCACAAATGATATTTTACGAGTTTCAAACTCTTCATAATTTCGGTTTCGACACTTACCGACTTACCGAAATTACAAGGACACCTAATTTTAGTTCCATCCATACATTCGGGATGCTTAACAAAAGCTAAAAATTGTTCTACACCTCCGATAAAGTCATCATTTGATAATCTATTAACTAACCTAACATTCATTCATTATTGATCATGTCTCATTTTTGTAATTGTTGTAAAAAATGACACAACCAATGCAACACAATTACTTACCATCATTCCTAAGAATTTTAAATAAAAATTAACATATATTAGTTGTGTAATTGTCTCTAATTAGTTATAAATTTTGTTTCAAGAATTTGACTTTATATTTAAATAATTATTTAAAAAATTATTATATTTTTTATTTTTTATTCTTAAATATTTAATTCTACAATATTCAATGATTTATGTGTAATTATATTTTTTTACATTTTCTACCTTAGGTCGAATAATAACCCTAACCTAAACAAAACATTTACTTTCAATTTCAACACCAATTTTTCATATAATTTCCTTCAATTATACCTAAAATAACTCAATTATGCATTCATTGATCAATTACATGCATAAACTCCAAATTAGGTCTTATTGGGCTTAAACCCTAATTTAGGTAATTTAAGCTAATTTTTCAATATACATGTGATTTTTCATTCCACTTCATCTAATTACATTAATCAATTGAAGTATTAATTAGAAGTCAATTATACTTAAACCCTAATTTATTCCCAATTTGGGTTGAATGGAGGCCTAAGATATTTAGATACAATTCTTCAATTTGTATGAAATTTTTCATTTTCACCTAAATTACATGAAATTTTATATATTTTCAAGCTAAAAAGTTTTTTTTATTAAATTTTCCTAATTAATTTAATAATTAACTAAATTTAATTTAATTAATCCTAAAAAAATGTTTATTAAATTCTATTAATTAATAAAATGTTTATTAAATTTTAACTTTTATGTTTATTTTTCAATAACATTACGAATTAACAAAATTTAAAGAAAGTACGTAAAAAATTATATAAATTAAAAATTAAGTTAAAAAAACAACTAACCAAATTCACCTAATAATTAACACAAATAAATAATTAATTAATTACCAAATTTAAATTAACAATTAAATAATTTAACAATAAATCAACCTTAACTAAATTATATTCATAAAATTAAACCTAATAAATTAACATAATTAATTTTTTTAGTTTTACATTAACATACAAATTTGACTTTATATTAACATAACTAAAAAATAACACATAACAAAATTAATCTATTAGTTAAGAAAATCAAATAAACAATTAAGAAATTTATACTAATAATTAACATACAACTTAACATAATTAAAAATTAACATAACAACAAAATTAACAACATTCAAATAATTAATCAACTAATAAATAACAAAATTAATATAAAAATTTATAAAATTTATTTAATTTTAAAAAAGTAGGAGTCGAGAGAGAAAGTTTTACCCGAGAGATCAAGGAGAGAAAACACAGATTTGGTCCGATTTTGAGAGAGAAAGATTCACCTCACTTTGTTGAATGATCCGGGGAGTCACTTAGTGGTGTGGGGTGGCGTGGATGGTGGTTTTGTGGCCAACGGCGTGTTTTTTTTGGAGGAGAGGGGAAGCCGAATGAGAGAAGATGAAGGGGGAGGGGGATTTAAAGGAAAATTAGCAACGGAAGCGATTATGTCGCTACTTGCTAGGTAATTAGCAATGGATATAACCATTCATCGCTAAAATGGGGGAATTTTCCTCTCAAATCTTTTCCCGGCGGGAATTTTCCCTCAAATTAGCAACGGATTGGTAAATCCATCGCTAATTTGCTTTTTGGGGAGGGGGTTTTCCTCCCAAATTAGTGGCAAATTGATAAATTCATCGCTAATTTGCTCTTTTTTTGGGTAAAAATTCCCGCCTCAAAGGCCAAATTAGCAATGGATACCAATCCATCGCTAATTTGTCATCTAATTTAGCGACGGATTGGAAAATCCATTGCTAATTTTGCCCATTTTGGGATTTCTCCCCAAAAAGGAACAAATTAGCGATAGATTTGTCAATCCGTCGCTAATTTCCACTCGTAATCCCTCACTAGTTTTGCTTTAATGACGGATAGTGACGGATCTTTTTTGTCGCTAAATTAATGGCGAAAATCTGTTGCTGAACTTGACTTTTTTTTTTTTTGTTGCCTTATTTTGTGATGGAATTTATTCTGTTGCTGATATTCCCTCGTTAGTCCGTCGCTAATCGAGTCACGAACTTCAACTTTTTCTTGTTGCTTGCTAATACGTCGTTAGTCTATCGCTAATTAGAGGCTGAATGGTATCCGTCACTAATTGCTAATTTTTTTGTTACAGCTTAAGTTTTTAAGCTGCTTAAGATGGTTATCAAATACCTCATTAATGAGTGGAAATAATGCCGCTTTCTAATTATATACGGACACAAACTCTTTCACATTAAAAAGAGGAAGAGAAGGAAAATTTTATTAAATTATTTTCAAAACACACCAGTCTAATGTGGGAAATATTAATTATAATTAGACTCAACATCAGGCACGCGATTGGAGCCCCTGGCTCTTCCCGCTGTTTGGTAGCTTATGGTTATATATTCTATGTCACTCTTAAAAGGGACACCATTTGCTGCTAAACTGCAGCAGAAAATGCTACCCAGAACGCGTTGTTAGTTCCTTTATTTGACAAAAGGGATCTGTGTCACTGTGTGAAAATGGAATCGGATCTAATATGTCCGCACCTGCCCTAGCTAGCTTGAAGTAAAGTGTCAGTTCCTTCGAGCCTTGAACGTGACTTTGGATCTATAATTTTTTTTTCTTTTTGGTAGAATTATTCATAACATATAAGCATATATTTTTCAAATGTGGGATCAAGTTACACATCCTTAAGCATAAATGATCAATGGTAACGCAGCTTTATAAATTATTTTACCTAATTATCGTTTGTGCAATATAGGTTAGTGAAATTTTAAATAAACAAAAAATAAATTTCTATTTATCGTTAAAAAATAATTCAACCACAATGTTTTGTCAGATAATTATCACTTGTGCTAGTGATGTATCATACACCGGTTCTTTCGACTTTAAATTTTATGCATCCAATCTTTCTGTTTATGTTCTGTACGTCTATTCCGTTCATCCTTCATCTATGAACACAATACTTTCCACACGAAAATCATCTTGATAAATCTATTACATATTTCTAGAATTCTTCACAAAATTTGAAATTCATTCGAATTATCTTCGATTTTTTTTTCCAAATTTTCGAATTTTTAATATTTAAAAAATCAATAAAAAATATTTCATAACTCAAAAAAATTCTAAGCTTTGCCAGATAATAGATTGATTGATTGATTTATTGGCTAATTGTATGCAAAATTTTAGCTCTAAAAAAAGAATGACAGTTAAGACGTAGTCTGCTTTCAACCCATATGACATGTGGACATTTAACAACTCTACGTGGATGTAAGAACCGATAAAATGAGCAGAACATAAGTAGAAGGATTAGATAAATAAAATTTAAAGTCGAAAGATGTCGTGTATTATCAATAGTATAAGGATCATCGATCATATTAAAACATTAATATTGTGATACAGAGATGTCACAATTTCTACAATTGCTTTTGTCTTGATCCTTGAGTGCGCTCTAAAATTAATTAAGAACCTGATTTACATTTCGAAACTGGTGATATTTTTGGAATATGTACAACTGCCCAGTCTTTGATCCTTGTTTTCCTAAGACATTACTTTGTCATCCACTGAGACAGGATCTCACTTTCTCTACCACTAGCCACTAATCTATATCATTTGGCTTTCCCTGCCCTAGATTAGGATACCATTTTCCAAGTTTATTTCTTTCTTTAACAATCCCGCCTGTCCCCTGTTCTATGAAAACTATATATATAACGAAACTCGGATATATAAACGAGACCCAAACTCCTAAATTGATAAGTAAATTGTATATATTTATATTGGATCGATGCAAGCACATGCCGTCCTTATCTTCACACAAATTTTTATGGCTGTCAGGGTAGTAATCGGCTCGATCTGCTTCTCTGTTTTACAAACCAGTTCTTCAGAGTGTCTGTGCATGGTAATAATAAACTGTATTCTTTCTAGTAGGTTGGTCAACAATAAGTAATTCTGATTAAGTGCAAAAGTCATCAAATTTAGAGGATCGTCTTTTAGCACTCCTCCCCTGCCTGCCGAACATATGGTCCTTTTTCACTCATTATAGCAATTAGTAGCACAGGGCCTTCGGTCACAGGCTTGCTACTTCAGTGAATTATACGCCTGACTTTTTAAAGCATAACTTGGCTGAAAAGGAAGCATCTGCAGCTATACTATATAACCAACACACACACAAGTTCTTTTTTGTTTCCCTTAAATATTAGCACATCCTTTCTTAGATATCTACTGCACGAGGAGCCAACGAAAAAGACATACAGATAATCAAATGGGTAGAGAAGTCATGGCTCAAACGAGGGTTTTCTTCTTAATTCTCTTCATCTCACTCTCATCTTGCAAGGTAAAGGAATCTCCTCTCATCGTTTTTTTTTCTCTTTATACGTGTTCATTATTTGCATATATAATGCATATATTGTACAATAATATTACATTTTTCATACACATGCATTCTAATATTGTTTCACGCTTGAAGACACAGGTTTCTCTTGCTGACACGAGTAGCCTACACAAAAAAAACTTATCAACCCAACTTAATCCATTTTCTCCAAGAGCATCTTTGATCCGTTATTGGAACAAACATGTCTCCAACAGCCTACCTGAACCACTGTTTCTCCTCTCCAAGTCTTCACCACTCAGTGCCATCGACTCAGCGATCCTCACCAAACTTGCAACTCAAAACTCACTTTCCTTAAAGCTTGACTCCTTCTGTTCTTTAGCCAACTTATTTTGTTCCTTTGACTCAAAACAAAGTTTAGGCAATCATGACCAAGATTCCAACTTTGCACTTTACTCCAATAAACGCTTTGCAAACTATGGTGGATCAAGAGTCAGTCGGTCCGACTCTTTTAAGAACTACTCCAACGGGTTGAACTCGGTTGCTGACTCTTTCATAAGATATAGCCGTGACTCTACTGGCCATAGCGAGACATTCGCAAACTATGGTAACGATGGAAATTTAGCCAATGCAACATTTGGCAACTATGGCTCTGCTGCCACTGGTGGTTCTGGTACGTTTATGAACTATGACAACAGAGTCAATGTGCCTGATCTTCGATTCACTACTTATACCTCAGATGGTAATGACCATAAGCTCTCTTTTTCAAGCTACAGTGATGAAACAAATGTAGGTGCTCAAGTATTCACTGGCTACGGCAAGAAAGGCAATGGGGTTCCATCTGAGTTTGTAAAGTATAGTGGAGATTCAAACGTTATTGAGTCCACATTTACAGGTTACGGTGAGTTAGGTAATGCAGCAAATGACTCTTTCACAGGTTATGGCAACTCAGGCAACAACCCACATAACAACTTCAAGAGCTACGGCACTGGTGCAAACTCTGGTATCGATAGCTTCTCAAGCTACAGGAACGGAGCCAATGTTGGTCAGGATTCATTTCAATCCTATGCCAAGGATTCAAATTCAGGGAAAGTGAGTTTCACAAATTATGGAAAAACATTTAACCCTGGAAATGATTCATTCAAAGATTATGGCAAAGGCTCGAAGGGCATGACCACCATTGGATTTAAAAGTTACAGTCTTGATCGATCATTCAAGGTTTATAATGATAAGGGTGTCACATTTGCTGGTTACAGCAACACAACTAGTTTTCCAAGTGATAATGGCGTTTTTGTAACTAAGAGATGGGTGGAACCAGGCAAGTTTTTTAGGGAATCCATGCTGAAGCAAGGAAATGTTATGGCGATGCCCGACATCAGGGACAAAATGCCTAAAAGGTCATTTTTACCCCGGTCAATCATTTCAAAATTACCATTCTCAACCACGAGTTTGGTCGAGCTGAAGTACCTTTTCCATGCGTCAGATAACTCAGCCATGGAGCACGTGCTTCTCAACGCGCTGTCTGAGTGCGAGAGGGCACCTAGCCGTGGTGAGACCAAGCGATGTGTTGGCTCAGTAGAAGACATGATCGACTTTGCAGTTTCGGTGTTGGGCCGGAATGTGGTGGTAAGGACCACCGAAAATGTTAACGGGTCAAAGAAAAATGTGATGATTGGATCGGTCAAAGGTATCAACGGGGGAGAAGTGACCAAATCAGTGTCTTGTCACCAAAGCCTGTACCCGTACTTACTTTATTATTGTCACTCGGTACCCTCCGTTAGGGTTTATGAGGCAGACATTGTCGATGCTGAGAGCAAAGAAAGGGTCAACGTTGGTGTAGCCATTTGTCATATTGACACATCAGCTTGGAGTCCAGAACATGGAGCATTTGTTGCCCTTGGGTCAAGCCCAGGGAAAATTGAAGTTTGCCACTGGATCTTTGAGAACGACATGACTTGGACCATTGCTGACAGAGAATAGTGGGTGGTTGCTTGATTAATTTATTTTAAATTGGTGCTTGATTTCTTGTTGGTGATCTTTTTTTGTCTCAGAAAAATTGCGTAAGGAAACTAAGTCTTGTGAGTTACTTTTGTGCTTTTCCAAGAAAAATTTGTATTGATGTCTTCTTTAATTATTTGTAAGAGAGAAATCCTTTGCTACATGAATCTTAGCTTTTCATTAGATCAAATCTCAGTTTATATGCCCTTATTTTGGATACATGCAACACAACAAATGTAGTATTTTTTTTTAAATTATCATTAGTAATCATTTCTCCGACAGAGAAATCATTTTCCTGTGGGCCGGACTGATGGCTAATCACCCTGCCCATAATTAGTTCAGAAACCCTAAAAATCCAAGCAATTAACGAGTTGATATTTGAACTTTATTTTATCCCATTGGACCTTGAAGCCTTATACTGTCAATTTTGTCAAGAAAGAAACAAATTATTATTTTTTTCCGATAACAAAGAAAATTAATTTGCCACATTCACTTGAGGTTTGTTTTGTAATAAAGATAAAGAAAGAAAGGAAATAAAAGGTAGAGACACAAGAGCCAAGAAAGAAATCCAATATTCCATTGCAAAGGTGGGTAATAGTTAAGGTTCTGATTTTGAAGGAACAAAATCTTTTCAGGGCATGGTCTTGTCCATGCGCATAGCTTCAACCAAAAGTACCTCCAGCTTCCATCCACTCACAAGTCACAATGAACCCCATCTAAAGAATTGAAGATTCAAGTGCGCGTGTTGTGTACAACTGATTGTGCGGTCTAAAGCAAAGAGCATGCCAGATTTAGCAGCTTTGAGTGAAACCCAAGAAATGCTCTCTATCAAAATGCTGCTGCCGCTGATCATGATTCGTGCCCTCTCATGCTAGCACAATAAATTGCCTGCCTAGCAAACTGAATGGACACCACTTAGTCAGTAGCGAACTTTAATTAATTAGTAAACCTCATAATAATATTCCATCAAAGCATAATCACAGGAAGCATTAATTTCCTCATGTTATTTTCATCAAATTTGGTCATTAATTTTAACCATCACTACTCAAATTGAAGACCCACCATTGTATTAACAAACCACAATAAAAGGTAACCACATTTTTCAGGGAAAAAAGAAGAAGTTTACAGAAGAATGACGGATCCTGAATACAGTTTAAGCCGACTTAGAGGGAGAATAGGTTCCCCATTAGCCCCATCTGCATGCTCTTGTTACAAGAGAAAGCCCAATGCTAAGGATTCCGAGCCGTCATGCTGGAGATTTTAACCGTCAATGGAGCCCGCTATGCTGCCTAAACAACGGACTTCGGCCCTTTTACTTGAGCAGTTTCTAAACGTGCACTAAATCAGTTTTGTGAAGGAAATATCTCTAAAAGTTTAAATTGTTATATAAAACTTCAAAATATAATTTATATTATTTTAATTTTTTTTTAAATGAAAATATTTTAGGCTTAAAACTTACCTATGCTTACACTATTTTGTATTTAATTAATTAAAAGAAAAATGAGGGAGGTGAGATTCAAACTCACAACTATTTAGTCATTAAGACTTTGACATTATGCCAAATGACTATTTCAATTCAAAATCTTAAACTGTTAGATGAGCTTTTAGGATATAATTTATATTATTTTCTAAAAAATATAATTATTATTCCTTGCACTAATGCTCTATACATTTTGTTATTTCATCGTTTATTTAAATTTTAAGCTCGTTTATTTTTTTCTTAGAATTAATATTTCATATCATATGAAATTGAGAACTTTTTAAAAATAACATAGCAATTTCATTAATATTATATAAAATACAAACAAATCAATATATTTGTACCATAGTTAGAGAGATTATAACAACATTAAAAAAGCTAAAATAATAATAATAATAACTTTAAATATCTAAAAAATGAAAAAAAAAATTCATGTCCGTAAACCTTATAAATCAAAATATGTTTATTTGCAATGAAATAAGTTTGCAGACATGATTTTTTTTTCAAAATTTTCAGCAGTTAAAAAAAATTATATAAAGTTTATAGGTATTTCAATTTTCTAAGATTTTCAAGTTTTGTTAAGATTTTGAGAATTTATTTATTTATTTATGTTTTGAAATTTAAATTTTCTTTTGGTGGTGTAAAAGATATATATCTAAAAATTTGGAATATATATAAAGATGGAATTTTTTTATTAAAATATTAAAAAACCATATTTATGATTATTTAAAAAATTATAAAACATTAATGCATGCCTTTCTAAAACAGTACTATAGTTTTTGAAGCTGTTTCAAAAAAGTTTAAAAACAGCGTGCGTGCATTTTAATCTTCTATACGTTTCAAATGGTAATAAAACCTTTTTTTGTTTAAATGGCTTTTATGTCTTCAAACGACTACTCATGTGGGCTATATATTAGAATTTTATTTTGGAATACAAAGACATAAAAAGGATCATTTGCTCGGGGAACAAAAACATATACTTTTTGTTTTTGCTTTCTTGTCTTCCATTGAAAAGAAAAAACCATATTGTTTTAATTGTTTCTCTTTTTATATTACATATTGGGATGAGAGTGGTACTATATTTTTAATTGAGTTTTAAGTTTTATAAATGATACAAACTTGCTAAACATGACAAGATGATTGATAGTTGAGTTTATTGTATTCTTCAAATGGTGTGCCTTTTTAATTGGCCAAAGACTTTTTAGCTTTGTTGATGGCAGCAATCGATGTCCTCTCTCCCAATTATTATTTGCAGAAAATGGACTTTCACAAGTAAATCTAATGTATCACAATTGGGTTCAACAAGACCAACTGTTGATGAGTATTCTCATCTCCTCTTTGTCTAATGAGATATTACCAATAGTCATTGATTGTAAAACTTTTTGTGAAATATGAGTTAGCACATAATGTTTAAATTTATGAGTTAAAAAAAAAAAAAACAGAATTATTTGAAAAAAAAATTGATTCGGGGGTTCAATTAAAAAAAAAACGAAGTGTAGGGACAAAAAAATCAATTTAGGGTGCAATTAAAAAGATTAAGACCAAGATTTTAATTAAAAGAAAAAAAAAAGGAATACTATTGAGAAAAAAAAAGCCCAAACAAATCAACATTGAAATTAAAAATTAGGAGAAATCAAGGATTAAAATTAATGTGTACCAAAGATTCTAAAATTTTTTCTATAAATACCCAACTCCTTTAGCTATTTAAACTAGACACGGATCCCAAAAAAGAAAAAAAAACTCTAAATACAAAAATATGCCAAACAACCGCTAAGGAAGAAGAGACTCGACTCGATCCGTGGGTTATATTCATATACCAACCGACGCTTCTCTTTCCAAATCGACCATCCTTTGGTCAATATCTCCTCCAACCATCATCATCAATCGATAACCTACACCCGCATCCGTCATTCCCAACTACTTAGATAAGGAAGAGACGTCAAAATTGAAGAGAGAAGATTGATGACCTATCCTGTTTAGCAACTCGAGTCAAATCTCCTAATTCCATCCAAACCATCACTTGCCATCATTAAAGAAACATTCATCATGTAATAATCGGTAACCGCTAAAACTAGAATTTAATTAAAAAGTAAATATTGAACGCATATGGAAAATGTTTAGAGGGTAAGAAATAATTATTAGGGACTTAAAAGAATATTTAAAATAGTTGAAATAGTTTTTCAATGCTTAGAGAATATTTTATTGATTTTACGATGCATGAATAGTAATTTTTTTTGCATGAAGTAATTATTTAAAACATGCTGTATATGCATCAATTTATTTATTTATTTATTCATAATATTTCTTAAAGGAGTGTTGAATTATTTTATCTGGTTCTATGAATTTTCTAGTATGTTATGAATATTTTATTTGAATTGTCATGTATAGGAATAGTGTTTTAGAAGTAGAATATTTAAATTAAGTACTTTAAAAGAATGAGGAATTTTTTTTAAGGCATATAAAAATCATATAGGATGTGTAGGAGTATCTAATAAATTTAAATTAATTTTATCAAGTATAAGGAATATTTTTCATAGCAAATAGTGCAATTTTCACACTAAATAATTAATTTGGGGGTCTAAATGAGGTACAAAAATTATGAAAATGTAGATTAAATTCTTTTAGTAAAGGTTTGAATTTATTCTAGAAAGAAATTGAATTTTTGAAAAGAGTCGAATAAAATTTTAGAATTAAGGACCTAATTGCGTAGAAATTAGGGACTTAATTGCATAAAATTAAAAATTTAAACTTTTAAATTAGATTAGCTATGAACCAAGGAGTTTAAAATTTGTTAAGATAACTTTAAAAGGAGGACTTAAAGTGATCAATTGACAAATTGAAGGGCGATGGAAAGAGTAATTAGAGAAAAGATCAACAAAATAAGGGATTAAAATTAAGAAAAATTTTGGACTCTTCCACCGCTTTCCAGCCAAAATATACAGCTTAATTAGGCCCTAATTAATGCACTTTGACTTGGCTAAAAAGAAGAGGTTAAGAAGCATGCAAGATGGAAGGTTTAGAATAAAAAAAAATTAAAGTTTTAAGATTTAATCATTTGAAAGGCTATGATGAAAATTCAATTTGATGGTCAAGATCACTCCGAACATCATAATTTTAGGCTGGAGATGAGGTCAAAAGTCCACCCAAAATATGCCTATAAATAGGGGTGCATGGAATTAAGAAAAATGCACCAAAAATAGCAAAAACTAAGGGAAACTCTTTGTAATTTTCCTTAAGAAATTATGCCTAAAATCACCCAAAACCACCTCTCGAATACCTTAAATCATCTAGCAAAGCAAGGAAAACAAGTCGGAAGCTCAAGAATTTCCAAGGGAAAAATTTTCAAGTTAGGCCGAAAATTGGGGAAGAAAGAGGGAAGGAGAAATTCTCAAATTTTCCACTTTTTGAAGTTTAATTAGAATATCTAGGTAAGCTCACTTCACCTAAACTACAAGCAAGTTCATTTGCATGCCAATTTGATTTAATTGCATGAAACGTGAAA